ATATATGCATATATATACGCATATATATATATAGCGTATAGAAGCCTGTTGTTTTTTCGTCATTGAAAACCCATAACACAGGTTGCTGCGTTGTGTGTTTGTGTTGAGCGCCACTTCTTACTTAGCTTTGCATGTATTACGTTAAATTTTACTGTCCCCCAGTAAACTCTGTGTACATCTCACGAAGTCCCAGGATGCAATATCAGTAGAAAATATCCATATCTCCTCACACTGTCAGTGATTAAAGAATGTCCGAAGCGTGCTGACTCATCGACCAAGCAGCATCAACGGCGAATGGTTAAGAAACAGAACTCTGGCAGGCAGACTCCTGATATCTGGACACTTTGGCCAGAAGTCTAATGAATACGGACGTGGATCTGGCGAAGTGCAGGGTGAAAGCACGGCGTGGAATGGAAGGAAACGATACGGATCGGATCTCGTTAACTCAGCGGTTGCCATCTTCGTGTCGGTGGGCTGATTCGTTCCAAACACAGGGGATAAAAAAGCTGGAATTTCGATAACTGTGACCGTGCTTTATGCTGATAGCAATGGATTGGTTGGCCACCAACGCACCCCATCGGTGAATAAATTAAGCCTACCAGATTCGCCTCAGTTTTCTGAGGATGTCAACTAACTAAGCCTGCATTTGCACTGGAAGTGATTTTCCGTGACCATCGTAGTACAGACCAAAAACTTGTTCGATTACCTTAGCACATTGAGCAGTTCAGTGCGGCAAGCCTACGATTTTGCTAGACTTGAATTTCAATTATCATCGTCGTGTCAACGGAATCAAGTCGAATAATCGCTAACCACAGAACTCCATGCGGATGTATTGGGCTAATTTGTAATGCAGCTTTTAGTCTATCCGAATTGAATATCACAGAACGTCCTGATGTGAAAAATTGCATCATTCTGCGAGAGGGAAAACACCTGAATTACCAGTAATTCTCGATGGATTAAGGGGACCGTTATTTGTGAGATAGTGACCGGAACTATGACCTGCGGTAAGTCGACAATGCTCACTCATTTCCACGGTCAGGACGTACATGTCAGTTAGTCCATCAGTGTCCTGACGATGTTTTTGGACAGGACGCGGCACATACTCGTAGTCAGTAAACAAAAAAGTAAAAAAGCATTGCATTTGGGGGTGGGTGTCCCTATGCGGCAAGTTTTATTGAGTTATGTGGAATGCTAATTCTTGCGAGATGTAATCGAAATTTCTGGTCTCGTTAGCGTTCTTCCCTCCTCGATGTGTTTCCCGCCTTTGCGTTCACTAATTAATCCGGGTATTTTAAGTTCGTTTGTTAGGTTGCTTCACCTCTTTAGTTAGACTTTGGGTTCTTGAGTTCACAGTGGTGGAAAAGACTTCCAGCATTTCACATACTGTCCGGTCATATACAGTACAATGTTTACAATTGACAGCTCTCCTACTTACCGAATTTAAATCACAACCAGCATGTCGTTGTCTCCGTTGAGAGCCAATACAGCGTTGTCCCGGTTTGTACTTCAGACACCGGCGTGTTTGCTGTTGAAACGGCCGTTTATAGCAAATCTCATACGGCTCGGGCCAAATACAGTCTGACCATGATGTCCATGGGCCCCAGGTTGCTTCAGGTGGCTCGATTTCACAGTTTTTTCCCATATATCCAGGTTGACAGATGCATGTGTACATAGTCGGATCCTCTCCCTGAACACAGTATCCTCTATTCAGACATGGATTTTGTGTTGCGGCAGGGTTAGACAACACATATTCGTCAGTTTCGTCAAGCGTTTCCAATCTTTCTCCACAAGCTGGTAATGGGACACACATAGGCTCTCCTGGACTTTTTCGTTTGTGGGTTGGAGGACAGAGACACCTTATTTTAGATGGACAAAGCGATTTTATTCTTTATGTGGGAAATTTAACAGTAGCATAGTTAAGAGAATTCTTAAGCCCAGACAAATTAGGTTGGTCTTAGTCTACGTTGTGGATTGAAAACCTATTCAGAAATTATCTGAGGTGTGATATATGGAATATGCAAACAGTTTGTTTCTACTTTATTTCTAACGGGGGACTCATGTGAACCCCAGATGCGCTTCTTGCTTCTGATATGGATGTGTTACACAACGGATGCCTCATTTTTCATCTGTGATGCTATTCGAGATGGTACAGCGCACTGTCTATACGGAATTCACTACTCACGAGGCTGCCAAGTAGCTCTTTGACAGTCCATGACTGGCTTCGCCATTGTAGGAATTCATCATGAAGATGCAGTCTTCGAGGTTCCGTCAATCCCATCATCCTAACTGAAAAGTGAGGTACTGTGCAGCACATCGAGTTGCAAAATATCAATAACGAGAGATTCGGTTTGAATTCAAATGATTCTCCCACTAAAACGAGATTATTGATCGAACGAATTGCGTCCAATGACGTTGACGGGTACTCGGAGACTGTGCCATCCTGATAGACCATAGGATGGGTGAAACCGATCTTAAGCTGTCGATGAGTTTTCACCATCCTCGTAAGTAAATTGTTCCACCTAAACTCATTTCTACTTCTACTAGGTCCATAAACTTTGAACTTACGTACGACAAATTGTGATTGGTCTGTAAACAAATCTACCACGTAAAAATTTTACTTCTGAATGCAAGTCAGTCATTGCATGTAAAGGTCTAAGCTTAGGATAACTATCGATCCCGTGACTGAAATTTTACGCCGAGGCTAAATTAACCTGAGCAGCGGACAAAGTAGATGGGTTTTTTGTGGTTTATGCTAAACGAATGAAGCGTTATGAGGAAGGTCTAAGTATAATTTCGCGAAATTCGTCACTGCCTTAGCATTTTTATACAACTGTAAACCGACTAGATCATACTGAGAAACTATTGGTCAGGAGAGTTTTCATAAATAACTGATGGGTTCATTACAGGCCAACATTTCGCTTTTAATACAAAAGCCTCGTCAGGTCAACTGAATAAGTAACCAGGCTGGCCAATTGGTGTGGTCTCCTGAAACTAGCCAGCTCGACAAGTGCTGACTTGTTGATAAGGCCCACCAGCTAGATGTTGTGTAACCCTCTGCAAATGGTCACTCATGTGTGAGAACGATGGGTCTACTATTATCCGTGTTTTACAAACTTCCCTCATCAGAAGCATAGAAACTGTGAGTACAGTTGGGTATATATAGTTCAGAAGGTTCAACAACAAGCGGCTACAAATATTGCCCCAACAAGGCAAAGAGCTTTAGATATCTTAAACAGCATCGCAACCACAAAGGTGGATTACAGTGGGGTCACGGTCTTCATTAATGAGGGTGTGCAGGTCAACCTTACCGACAAATCAGCGGAAGGATCATTACACCCGAAAAATGAATAAGAGTAAGGTTGATGATCAGTAATCTTGGACAAGGCAAGTTGCATGCGTAGTGCTGTAAAAGTGCAAACTAACCACAAATTTATGGGCTACTCAAAGTTCACAATGCAGGGGTACCTATTAGACCAGTAGTGCATTGTACCACATAAGCATGCTAAATTTTTTTCAGGTAGCCCAAAACCACCGACCAACAGGTCATCCATACACATCCAAAATTCGTATGATTTTGCCAAAAAAAATAGTAGGTGGACAGACTTCCAGCTAGTTTTGACGCTTACTCGATCTTTACGAATGTTCCCAGGAAAGAGGCTCTGGATATGGCAAGATGGTTGTTACAGGCTGATAGCGCTGTAAGACGAACGCTGCTCCCCCCAGATGGCATAGTTGGAAGCACCGAAATATGCTTAACTTCGGTCAGTGTATTTTGACTCAGTTATGTGCTCCCGAATAAAGGTCTGGCGGTAAATTCCATGACATCTTCGAATTTGGTTAATATGTATATATAACACCTTGAACAGAAATCATTAGCCGGATTCGACCACCCGTCGAAGATTTTCTGGCGGCACATGGATGACGTGCTTGTTGTCATCAATCATGATAAAGTTTATAAAAGGAAACCCTCCTCACAAAGTTTAATATGGATTGCACTGTGGTTGCACTGCATTCTCTAGGCTGCACGACACACATGGGTGGTGGGAAACTAGAAACTAGTGTTTACTTGAGACTAACTGGCACTAGCACAGTCATAAACTACCCATCATCACATGAAGGCAGTGTACGCCAGGATAATTTCAGCAAGTCCTAGTCGAGTGATGTGCACACAGAAGGTCGATCCAACAGCAGTACAAATTGAGGTAGAAAAGAAACTTCAAGAAAGCGGATACCCAGTGGGTTTGATTATGCAGTAACCAAGAGGGTACCGATCGTAACACGAAGATTCAAAAAGAAGTGGGTCGAAACAGCGGTCATCCTATAAAAAACGGGAACGTCTGAAGTCCTTAGAAGGCACTGAATGGGACAGACATTCAAGAAGCATTCCTGGAGGGGAGAATACTGCGTACAGTTTTGTTGCAATTGAGGGATCGCTTTCTAGTTGATGTAACCGGAGAAAAATCTAATGATTGTACGTAGACTTACATGAAGCAACAAACCAGAGTTGCACACCATAACCGATCAACAAAAGCGGTTTATAAACAGACCATCAAGAATCCCAGGTGAATATCACGCGATAATTAAATACTCGGCAATGTTGAATGCAGTACAGCTAGGGCAAATGTGGAAGATTTAAGACAGGAAATAAGACTCACACGACAGCGACTAGTGGTCAAGGAGGTGGAAATCGCTAAGCCAACCAAAGTGTATAGAGTAGGGAGCGTAGAACTGAAAAGCGTGTGGAGAGCGGTACTGGGCCAGTCGAGTTGATACGTGGTTTCTTACGGTCACCATTGAAACAATCTTGGTCTAAAGTACAAAACCCAGTCAGCATAAAATCATCGTAGACTTCCCAACCCTACTCAGAATGACCTGGTGCTTCCTAACACACATAGACATGGAGAGATACTAACGAACTTTTGGATGTCAACATTGAGAAGTATTCCACTGAAATGCTCTAAACCAAAAAACAAGGCCCCAAAACCTGATTGAACTTGATGATTATTCGCTTTTAACGCATCTGCCGTAAATGTTAACCATTCACACCATTCAGTAAAAACTTTTGATCAACTATCAGTGCTGATTAAGCAACCTAGTAGTAACAGACCACACTCGTTGGCGTCCGACTTAAAACCTGGCCAAAGTGGTAACTTACTCATTTAACCTGACGAAGCTTTGTATCAAAAGTCAGCAATAAGTGCATCGACTGTTTATGAAAACCTCTCTGAAACGACAACTTGCCTTTGTACATAATGACTGACATATTACGTTAAGCTGCTTCCATTTTCATTGTTGGAAGAATCCATCCGAATTCGGTTAATGCGAGCACAACCGATACTGGTACCATTTGTATTTTTGGCTTGTGGGACATCAATAGCTGATTATTGTCTCTCCACTACCAAACCCGCTGAAACCGTCTTAAAATTCTACCCTTGTTGCACACTTCCCAGAAATGCTGGTTGGAACGAAAGTTCAGAGCTTGGAATGTATAGATCTGCAAGAACAGTAGCTTGATTATGTAACCACTGATTCGACCAGGTATTCAGAGTTTAGTCGAATGAATGATGCAGGCGGGTTTAGTTAGTTAGTCAGTCAGTTTTCCATGCACTGAAGTTCAGTGACTGTAACAGCTCTGTTCAAAGAAGATATGGAGAACAGGGGGATGAGAGCCACCCGTTGGGGGCGCCCATTGATATCAGTTGGTTCTGTCTGTCCAGTCACGCAGTGAAGACTGCGGGACACAGTCATGTCTGTCACGGTCGCTGACCATTGGTTGAGTAACTCCAACATAGGTTAAACAGAGTTTCAAATCACAGGATTACGCGGCCACCAGCCTATAAAAATCCTCGTTTCATTTCACGGTGCATAAGATGATTTCTTATCTGATTGCGGTTGGCACCAAAACCACAGACCTTCATAAAGCTATGAATGAATATTAACGCGCCCCATTTCAGTTTACAGATCATTCAGAATAAGCTATACTTCCTGTAGGTGAATGTTCCTTATGGATCAGTGCTAATACAATTAATCTGTGTTTATGAAACTAACTGAGACAGAGGCTGTATTACGGTTTTGTATTCGAAATTCTATTCCAGAAACATGATTATTTTATTGGTACATTGCCACCAACAACTCACCTGTACCCATTATCCATGTCGTGTGGGTCTCTGAGACAGGCGAATTCACCACATACATTCTCTTCTACACAGCGGTCTGTCTCTAGTTCGCAGAACTCCCCTCGGAAAGCCGGTGGACATTCACATGTCACAGTAGCTATTTCCTGTAAGTATTCTGATCCGAATGTGTTCTCAACCAGTTTGGTTACACATCGGCCCCCGTTGACACATGGGTTGCTACCACCACATCCAATATCCTGGCTCACATCAATGCATCCGTCCAAGAATTTGTCGTACTGATCATAAGGGAGGTAGGCAAGATCATTAGTTACTTCCTCGTGAGTTATTATGACGTAAAGTTTGTGTTAGAACGCATAGCCATGCGAGTAAATGTTTACTTGGTACAAGATATATACACCCTACTTTTCAGCATGACTGACTGGCTACATTCTTTTATTTGGACAACAGTACCAGTGTTCAGTTATTAACACTGTCAGCATCACTGTATATTGTTGTGGATGGTCATTGTGTCCAGAAACGGGAGTGTAGCCTCCTAAATAAACTATTACGATCTAGCGAAATACACTCATTTGCAAACTAATTTGGTTTTGCGAAAGACTCACCTAGAACTCAGCTGGGTCTCACGTTTGTGATGTTTCCTGGCAACTGAATGTGCTGCACCAGGCCGCTTCATGTTTCAGTCGCTACGATATTCGAGATATCGGGATACATGTATATTCGTAATGCACTACTCATAAGGTTGCTGACGAGTTTTCAGCAAACCATTACCATCTACTTCACAACGATTGAACTTTCTGCCCTTCCGCTAGAGCATGCAATGAAAGTCCAGGGTGATGATGCGACTCATGAATTGGATCTTCATTTTCTGTTTGTTTTGTCCGGTTGAAAGATCCTACGACTAGACAAACATGTTCTGGTTGTTGAACAATGGGATAGGTTAGTGGTAGCTAGCGCCACTGTCGTCCTAAAAACATACAAATCGCTTTCTAAGCTGAAGCCCAAACTAGTATGCATTTGTGCCCTGTGATTGTGGATGACCTCTCACAGATGTTGTTCCGTAGATCAGGTAAGCAAACAGTTTCTTGAGTGAAAAATAATGTACTTTGTAGGCACAACTCACAAGACAGCCGAAACATATGGTTTGCTTCCATAAACTGTTGAAGCTTTGAAAGAACGGCGTTTCATTTTTGTTACTTTGACAAAGTCAATGTACAAATAACTAACCACTGTGTTCAATGAAGAAAGAAATCACCATGACAGGTATCAGACATTAGATCTTCACTTTTACTCAGAGTATCACGTTTGTTTCGATTATGTTCGTATACTTGTTTCATCGTGTTCGTGCGTGGTGTTGATGACTCCACTTAGATTTTTTCCGCTGATTGCTCACGTGACAGTGGACGGATCGATAACAGCTCGAAGCCATTTGCACACCAGTGGTTCCTCCGTGCCTCTTGGAGCTCGGGAAACGCCAAAGTGCCAGGAATGCTCGAAATGATGTTTCCAGAATTATTGTAACAGTGGCGAGAACAGTAACAGAAATTTGCATAGTAGCCAATCGAGTTTCTGAAGAGGATGGAATAATGCGGAAAAAGGCAACAACCCCAAAAATGAACAATTTGTTGGTAGAAAGAGGTTTAAGTTAGCGATGTGAATGGTTTGGATCCGGCCTGCAGAGACAACCGGTAACATTCACCAAAACTTCCCTATCACTTGTATAGTGTTTCACGCAAAGCGAGCCAATAAGCTCACGAATGTGTGATGATTTACGGGTTCATCTCAAAACTCCTCCCTGAAAGGGATTGATTTAACCGATATCTTTGTAGTGCTTAATTGGTCGAAGACTTGGTGATCCAGTGAACGGAAGCTCAATGGCTTCACGTTCACTGAACTGAAATTCAATGAGTCGAAGGTCTGCCGAAACGAAAACCGACCAATTTAGGATTCAATAGATCTATTCAGAACAGTTAAATTCGATTAAGCAAATGGGAACCCGGATTTGTACGTTCGACTGTGGAACCCCACTGGCAATGCAGCTGCATGGCTAACGGGTCACGTATCAGCCAATGAGGACAAAATAGAACATGATCATTCTTCAGGTAGTCACCATCCAAATGGGAACCCGGATTTGTGCGTTCGACTGTGGAGCCTCACTGGCAATGCAGATGCATGGCTAACGGGTTACGTATCAGCCGATGAGGACAAAATTGAACATGATCATTCTTCAGGTAGTCACCATAATAGATGATGGTAAAAATTCCCTCAAATCTGAATCTTATTGAATGTACCACATTTCCTCATCGGGTTGTACTTCAACCATCATGTGCTGAGAGTCTAAGCAGCGTTTGGCATTGATATATTTTGGAAATACCCTTTAGATCCGCTGCACGATGTAGATCCACTTCGTCTTCTGGTACATCTCACTCAAAAACGCAGCGCTGAATCTCATTTGTCCTACGGACCCTACTCATCATTTTCCATGATTTGAAGCCAAAGGTATGAAAGGGTGAGTTTACCGTTTGGTCGTCTGTTATAATCGTCCTTCTGTGAAATATATATTGCAGACAAATTCTGAGAATCCACCGGGACAATGTTTGTTGATCTGATGCACCGTCCGACTTCCTTACCAGTTGTTTCGTAAAGCCGCCTCCGCGAATTTACTAAAACACTGAGACTTTTATTGAGATTGATTTGTCCAACGAACTGCACTAAATTGATTTTTCTTTAAGATTTCTTTAGTTTTCGGAGTCCACATACCCGATAGTACATCCGGCAAGGGCAATAAGCCGTTCGAGCGATCTGTTTTTGTATCTCAATTACTTCTTTTGTACGGTTGAGTCGGAAGAAGAAGTCGAGTGGCAGCCTCCGTTGGATCGGAACCTGTCGATGGAAAGTAGTAATTGACGGTGTATTTGCGGACACATTGCTCGTCAGTTCGGGCAATACACTGAGTATACTGTCGTCCAGGTAGGAGCTGCATGTCCCGATTGAATGAGGGGATTTCGCACAATAGTCGCCTTGTTTATTGCGACACACGTCCGGACAATTCAGATGAGTATCGATGCCCCGTAGACACAAGCCGATACTGTGAGTCAAATGAGGAAAATAAACAACTGGGTTACATTTAACTATGGATAAGGGGGCAGTCGAAAAATTTCATCTGAATTACCCTTAAAGTGAACTTGAGCACCGCAGAGAATTCGAGGAAAACGCACTAAGCGACAAAATCACTGGACTGTCAAGATTCTTTAGCATAGCTCGATTCCATGGGAATAAAACTGGATGCGTGTGGTCAGCGAGTGACAGACTCCAGCGGAAAACGAATTCAGAAATTACTACCGCACATCTTTGAACGCCATTTTAAAAACATTAATAAGTATAAAGCGGTTGAAAATAGATTGCAGAACAATCTCATGTTACCATCTTGTCGGGAGAGTCAGAGTATGCGTTCTGACTGTCTCTCCACGAAACTTTGATAAACCTCTAGGATATGTTTCCTGGTTGCTTTTCCAAAGCACCAGCAAGTCAGAGACGCCCACATCTTTGTGCGTTTATTGTGCTGTTATGCTCCACAAGGTCTCAATCGGGTATAGACTGGAACTACAGGTCAGCGAGTCCAATATTTTCATGAGACTGAAATCAGTCCAATACTTGTTTTGCTGCTTTGCACTGTTGACGATAGCGAGAGATGATATCAAATTTTTCAACGAACCCATCTTATCAACCACTTGGTGTTGTTGACTTGGTGAGTCGGGGGGATTTCAAATCAAGTGTGAGTACAGCAATTTCGAGAGTGTACTTTCAGCGCAGCCACAAGGTGCTTGTTAGGGACTTGCAGAATGGTAAACATCCAGAAATACGGCTAAACAAATAGGTACACATGGCTCAAACTGTCTCATATTCGATGCCTTCCGTTTTTGCTTATGGTCATTCTCATCATTAACAGCAATACACCGTTAACGGATACTGCTGCTTAAATGCTTTCTTCAGGCGATGGTGGTTGGGCATACGTAGCACAACCAATCACCTCAACCTGGTAAATTTAATCTGCTGCTCTATCTATTCGGATTCACTGACAAGTACATGCTTGAGCATCATTTGCTGGTGTTCACTCGCTGCTTACCATTACTCGCAGCTCACTCTTGCTGTGCTATAGAGACACCAGCAATCTTGGGTTGATTGTCCTATCACCAGCACCATAACCTGCATTGGTTATGCCGTGTACTTTGCATGCAGAACCATCATTTGCCGGAGAGAGTGCTGTTTCCCGTACCCAATTCAGAGTGGCGGAGCGCAGAGAGGTGATCACCCTTGACCTGGTAGGGGGGTATGAAAGAGATCACGAAACGTTTGGATGCTGTCGGTGCTACTCAGCTCCAAGCATAGGGAATGCGTAATCCCCACTGCGCCTGGTTGGAGACGCTTCAAGATATGATTGCTAACCGATGTCAGTGGTGATCTTTCTGTCAGTTTGTATATAGATTGTCTGGATGATTTTCTGGAGGTGTAAACGTCTCGGAATGATTGTGGCAAGCTAGCAACAAGTCTCATCCCCGTCCACTTTCTTTTCTTTACAATATGGCTTTCAAAATGAATAGAAGTTGTATGGCAGCGAAGCATTAGTGTTGAACACTGATGTCATACTGTCGATGATGATGATGATGATGATGATGATGATGATGATGATGATGATGATGATGATGATGATCATGTACCTCAATGTACCAACGGACATATGCCGGCAACAAAAGAGAGACAGAGAAACTGGCATTTTTACAGACGTGATACCCTCATGAAAGAAATCACTTATGGTCAGAATGTCCCAATGTTCTGTGATTGTAGCACAGCAAATAAGCGAATTAGCGGTATCGGACAGCTAATGAGGTTCTGATGACTATCTGCAGTCGGTCTGTGAAATCCAAATACCATGGGGTTCTGTGAGTAAAAGGATGCAAATTCAGCACAGAATAAGAGCGAAAAGAATTTAGGAATTCCGCTCTTCACATTTGCTTTAAAAAATAGTCCAAAAATTGACCAGTTGGTAAGCATTCGGTTCCCAGCATTGCATTCGCAAATAGCTTTCAAAATACGTTTGTCCTCCTAGTCTGTTCCTCCTGGATAGATACTGCCTGATATAAAGATAGTTTTTCCTGATTCTGAGAACTAAACAGGAAAATGAACCGATAGATTTTTAAAAACTCTGACCCTACAACTCCTTCTAAGGGATAATTCTGTCAAGGAAGCACTATTCAGCGTTTCAGTGGGTATCCATCCATTTGTAGTGAGATGAGACTTTAAAAAGACCATCTGGACTTCCACCGATCAACTCTGGTGCCTAATTCTCATACCGTCGTCAACTGACATGTCCATACAAAGCAGTGGTTGTGCGTTGCGCATAACACAAGACTTTAAAGAGACCATCCGGACTTCCACCGATCACCTCTGGTGCCTAGTTCTGATACCGTCGTCAACTGACATGTCCATAAAAAGCAGTGGTTGTGCGTTGCGCATAACACATCATGAGTGATATCGTACTGCTGGTGTGAAGGCATTTAATTTGTGCTTATCTGGGCAATAGTAAGAGGACCTCAAAATACTGTGATCTTAACCTGTCAGTGATCATTCTCTAGTGGGGCTATCAATCCAGTCGAGTTGTCCAAGTTTTTATATAAACATACCTTGCGTGATAATCTGACCCTATCCACCTGATTTGAGGACCGTTCATCTGTCATTCTTCCAAGACGACAACTTTGACCAGGTCTGGAGGTTGGCTTTTTCGGATGGGAACATTGTATACATAAACTTCGTTATATTGTCAGATTCGTTGAATGGTCGAAAAGTTAGTTAACTCACTCAACAGTGCTTATCTAGTTCATTGTCAGCGTTAATCTCCATGTTGCAGTGTATATTGGATCAAGCCTTACCGAACAACGTGCCCCTTGGAACGTGCTCAATTCCATGAACCGAAGCAAGTCGTGTCCACTGGTATTTCTGAATATCACTGCATATATAGGTTTTTTTTACACCGTCATGGCATATTTGAGTTAGCTTCAGATAATTAGATAAAAATATTGATGGTCTGAAACGTTTACTTATGTGTGATTGCCAGATAGTTTCACCATGCTTCTCAGAAGACAAAAAGAAATTCCTATCGGGGACTTTATCGACTTGTAATTCATAAGCTAAGTTTGACAATTTATGAAGATTCGAATTCAGTCCATTCTGGGGAGCGTTGGGGTTCCTTTAGGGTTTTGTGCATTCTGGACTCTCTAAGATGCTGATACACTCATTTTTTGATTAAATATCCCTTTGCAATTAGTCTCTCAGTTCGGCCAAAGGTAACAGGTGCCGCCAAAATGGTATTAGTAGTATACATTTATCGTCTCTGATCTAAACTGACCTGTCAGAAGTTACTCTTTCTTAGGGGTGTCGAAAGCAGCTTTTACAATACAATCAAGAGGGATCTTTCCCAAACAGTGGTCCCTTTTATGAATGAGGTCACCCGAAGAAACCAATGTACCTCTACCGTTCTCAAACTCCAAAATAGTTCTTCATGTCACAAAAATCCACTGAGACAAAAGCGCTCAGCTCCAGAGTCACTATATGTATAAACAACTCCTATAAGCCCTTCAGTACCAGGTAGACACTCTGCTTATGGCGAGCTCAACTACATATCTGCCAATTAGCGTCGATGCACTTAGTGAGATATGATATACCTCTTTTGTTTGAGGTACACGGTACAATTCAACTTGCAGTTGGACTCTAGTCTGTTACGCGGCCTTTATAGTTATAAGTGAACATTGTGCGGCTTATTTGGCATAAAAATTCCGTGCCCCCTCAATGTGTCGTTTGACAATAGAATATGAACTGCTTTCGGTTATTCAATAACCTATTATTACAAGCAGTGTGATGTATAGCAATGTAGACATTCCTTATCGGATAACCAAGCGGATTTTTGTCAAAGTTTATTGTCACAGCTCCATGGAAACTACATTCTCAGATCGGAATAGGATTATAAGCCTGGCTTCCAACACTTTGTAAAATCTTCGGCTGTCTAGGTCGTCTAAGTAGCCAAACACTGAGGCAAAACCAAACAGCTTGTTCGGAACCTAGCAGCGACGGCTACCAGTGAACCGCAACCATTCCGGACAACCCTGAGGCCAATTCATTCTGCTTTAAGAGGAATCTGCCGTGAAGCAAAGCCAGCAAACAGGGTTGATGCCAGCTTGGAAAATATATCACAATGAATAGACCATTATTTTCCAAAAGTACTTCACAAACAGTTGCATTTTACGTGGAACCAACAAACTTTCGAAGGGACTGGTGTACAAAATCATGCAGTAGAAGCACCTTTCTGTATGAATCTGCCTAAATCACTATCCGCTTGGTACAATGAACCTATCATATCTCTATCTAACCAAGGTATATATGAACAGCAACGGAGTGACTGTTAAAGCTCCTGGGTTCAAATAGACTCAAAATTAACGAACAGTCAGCGCACACCTATGTCATCCATGCTCACCGATAAATGATATCCAATATTGCCCGTACGGTGGCGGTATTTCTCGATAATGCACGGTTAAACACGTCCCGTACCCACTCCATATTGTTGAATAGATGGCAGTTCATTGCCATATAGAGTCTATTGCCAAATTCCTCTTCCGGTTTGCTCAGAACAATTTCGAGGACCTCCAAGTAAGCTTCACTAGTGAGTATGCTGGCCGGTGGCACTTCTGGGTCCAGATATTTGTCTTCCGGAAACCGCCCACTCATCAACGTGCTATAGTATACTTCCGTTGCTTCTTCGGGAAGAAATACCCGTTGTGCTTTGAGCGCAGGAACGCCGCGGCATGCCCAAAATTGATGGATATCGTAAGCTTCCTGCTCTATGAAATATACGTAGCCTGAAGATGTAAGCAAAAAACTCCATAGCACAGCCCATTTAAAAGCCGTACTTAAAAGCATTTCTACTTGATCGCATGTGCGAACTGAGAAGACGCCATTTGAAATTCCAATCGATAAATTTGGTCAGTCAGTCGTTGTAGAAAGCAGTGGGTACGATCCTGACAAATACACGTGTTAAACAGTGCAACGGTTGCATACTTGATTGCACTAAGCATATCGTGTTTTTCACCGTCAAATTACTTTGTCTGTTCATATCACTTATTTTTACGTTCTATGAATCCAGATCTATGGTTCCAGGTGCGTGTTTTTTCCGACAATTAACTAGACATTCAGGGTAACAAAGCCTTACGAACACCAAGATTTCGCTCTTTTTTCATTGAGGTAAATCATGTTGAATTCGGTCAAATGTCATTCAAAGTTCTAGTTAGACAGCATATTATGCGACACCCGTAACACCGAATTCGTTAGGCGAGATGGGCGCTAATAAAATTCAGTAATTCAGTTATTCATCACTATTATTGCGAGAACTTTTGACAAAATAGGGAGGAGCATGACAGGGTTACGGTTTATTGGTTCAGAATTCCGCCTTTCTCTTTTCTCACATTGTCAGAACCTCTCCTTTGCCAACTACTTCTGGAAGTACAGCGCAAAATACTCTGATAAACCCTGAGCTATTTGTAGTGTGATCTGTTCTGGAACACTGTACTTGTCCAAGAAGCGCAGCCTTTTCTGAACGTTGTACCCAATGGCTTACTTCGAGTACAAACGAATAGTTCATTCAACCGTTTGTACAAACCGTGTTTGTCACAGAAAGTGTTACATAAGCGTATGCTATGAATGGAAATCTCGTTATGATGGAATTCGTGGAACGAGTATGACCTAGTAAGAAGGGTCTTAAGATGAGGGGAAGTCGAAACTACAGAGTATTTTCTTCGGGCCAACAAAAGTCGGAGTGAAACTCGGCGTCTACTTTAACGAGAAGCACGGTCATTTGTTCACTGTGAGCGACTTGCAGTTGAAACGGATTCATACAGAAAACATCCTTTGGAGGTTTAAGGGAAGGATACTTGTTTTAGATAAAATCAGCCTAAAGGCTAATCCCCTACGATCACCTTTTCAGAACGGAGAACATCGACCGCTCACAGTGGTCTGCTGCTCCTTAGGGCCATAAGTGAACAGTGATTTTTCATGAGATACCTTCACAAGACAAGCTGAAGTCGCTTTCCCGTACAGATGATTATCTCCAGTTGTAAATAGTTTTGTTGTATACGAATGAGCCGAAGGCTGTCAGCGACTTACCCGTGTCTGCTGACCTCACCATCTGGTTATTTCTGTACTCTCCTGATGTTATTCTAATCGCTTCAAAGGCTTACCCGCCAAAGTGAATTAGATAAAAATTACATGAGAAACAGCTGATTTTAAGTGCTAAAGCAAAGCAGTGTCTAAACAATAATTTTGTCGATGTTTATTCGTTTCTTTGAACTCGGCCATATCCTGTGGGTGAACCGTCACATGTTAAAGTACAGCACACAAGGCTTGAGATATTTATTGGTGCTGCATGTCGTTCAACTTATATTCTATCTTTTGCTCGGTTGGTAAGACCTACGAGTTAATTCCAGGAGATTCAGTGAAAATACACTAGAAGCATTTACCACAAAGACAGACTACTAAAGTTGGGTAACTAAACATTGATGACTGCTTTGTTGACAAAACCTGTGAAGCACCGATACAGCAACTGACGAAAACGGAGTTCATTCAACGTACACTACAAGTCAAACATTTTTAAAAATAGGAGAATGCGCTGGGCTAGACTATTCTGTTATAAAAACTACCTTCTATAAATCGATCTGTGTTAGTATTCTACAGAAGTGATGACTTTTGAGAAGAGCCTCGTAAATCCTCGTCTACTGAGTTTTGCAAGAAGCCAGTGAATCAACATAACGCATTTACATTCCTAAACAAGCCAGATCGTCTTGTCACAACATGCCTATTCATAAGGCTGCAAAAGGATCTCCATCAGTTGTTCAGACGATAGAATTGCAGTTTCGCCCTATGAAAAAACATTCAGTCGCTTCTTTAGTTGACCAACGCTCTTCAGTATGACTACCGTGAATAGCGTCTTCGTGACCTTAATTTAACTGGATGAGTGAGATAATGAGAATCTTACTGAAACTCACACATGGTTCGATTAACAATATAGTTGAGGTTAGACAAGCCAACAACCGCTACACTGTTTTCAGTAGATTACTGCTCATTTATTCTTGTTTGAGGAATACTGTGGTTGCAATGAGGGTCGGCGAAAGTGAAACATTCAAGTCAATTAAGATGTAAACGAGACCCGTCCCGTTGATGCCATGCGGCTTATGATTGTGAGAACGGCCCGACGAGATATCTGACAATTATATAACCAAGTCCCCGTTTATAAATTAGTACCGCATCTGACGCCATTACCTCTTATAACCATCAATAAACGCGCTCTACCAAAATCGCTCATCGCCTATTGACAGAAATGTTACAGGAACTGGTGCTCGTTCGTTGAACTGCTTGAGCCGATTCACGGTTTTGATGAATTGGTAGCCCTGAGAGAGAGAGATTTCTTTGATTTTTACATGGTCACCTTTATTTGACTGAACTAATTGGGGGTGAAAATCAAGTGAAGTTGAGTCACGTTTCAAAATGTGTTCACAAAATCGCGGCTTTCGGAGGCGAATTCAATGATCGCATGATCATTTTACTCTCAACGGGTGAAACTTATTTTGGATGCAGATAGGATTGCCAGCAGCTCAAGCTTGCTGTCACTCAAGACATACACACACTGACGAACCACTTCGCTACAGCACACAAAAATGCAGCAGTGACATCAACGAGACCGGTAGCAAAACACTTTCAGGCCCAACGAACTATTCGTCTAGTTGGATTTTTGTCCACACAAACTTCGTTCCACGATTTCAAGACTTGGTTTTTTTTCACTGGTAAATTTACCTGCCTCTCTAACCCGTAAACCAACAAATTTTCTGATTGTCACATGAACTTTTGGCCGGCTGTCGTCGGTATGCATAACGCAACGGAAGTGGAGGACAAAACGTGATTTGGGCATAATGAAATTTATCTTCAACTGGGCGACGTCAAAATGGTATTCATTTGCTGGAACATGACGTATTAACATTCACACACTTCTTATCATGTTGCACCAAAAAGGATGTTGATTGGGTTTTGGAACGAACTGCAGCATTTTGCTCGCAAGATTTCTGTTTTCACAGTCGTCGGCGTCTTTCAAAGAGTTTTGGTTTCTTGTTCTTCACAATCAAAGCGAAACTTCTGGTTTTCCTCATGATTCCTTTTATAGTGATGCTCTTCGAAGCCCTGGTATTCTTGTGACGTGAATTCCTTAGACCTCTCCACATTTCATTAGTAATTGGGAATCGTTGCTACGGCATAATTAAAGTCACAAGTCAGACCTTTCGAGACATAAGCGATGATTGAGTTGGAGATAAAGACTGAACCAAGGCGTTCTTACTAAACCTCCCGTAATTAGGCGAGGAGTCTGTCATTTCAGCTTCAATGTTTTTATTTCTTTGTTTTCATCGTGGTCGCTTCTGACAGAAGATATTTCACAACTGAGAAACTGGAACGATTAGGTATTCATAAAAAATCTGTGTTTGATCCGAACCGTCCAGAACAGGCTTCACTTGACTTTCATGCAGTGGTTAAATAAATATGCTATCCTATCTACTTCACTAATTTGAGGTTTTTCGGATCGGATGAAACCAAAGAGTCCCTTTTTTTCGTATTGCGAGCTTGCGATTGCGTGTGTAGGTTTTTATACCAGCCCAAAGTAAAACAGAAATTAGGAGTTACTTTAAGCTAGCTTACTTAATGCTAGAGGCATCATTTTCCATCCTTCTATACAGACCACTTATTATTCATGTTAGCACCAGGTCCCTTCCTGAACCACACTTTCCACTTTAAGGATTTAGGTAAAATTCAACGTAATATGTGGTCGCATGGCAGTGAAGTATCAGTTTTAGTAGCGACGTTGCTATCCCTGATATTGATGATTACTACGATGATAACAAATATTTGGTAGTTTGCACCAGTTGGTCCGAGGACTTGGAAATGAGAAGTCGATTATTTTCATAAGGGAAACTACTCACAAAGTCACTGAAAACTCTTTGACAACCCACGAACGGTTTCGCCCTTTCTTTGGGTCATCAAGTAGGCACAATCCCCAAATTTCCGTCAGCTTCATGTTCTACTTGAACCCAAAGTGGACTCATTTTGACAAATACAGTCATTCGCAGATCTATTTGATATTCGCGAGGGACTCAAATTAATTTTTCTTTCAAGATGTTCTCTAACTAAATGTGCTGCAAAAATGACCTCCCATATTTCAGCTGGTACGATATTCCAGGTACCGCAGTATATTTTCATAAAGGATGGTACTCACAAAGCTTCTAAAAACTCTGACAGCCCACGATCGGGTTCGCTTACCTTGGGGCTCATCAGGTAGATACAGCCCCCTAGTTTCTGTCAGTCTTTCCGTTTTTATTCTCGACGACAATTTTCTCTCTAATTGTGGCACAAACTTTTGTGTGCTGGGCAGACGCTTGGTCAATGTCAATGCCTGCGCGTACCTCGTTTTTTCTGAATCAACTTACTTTTGCTTGGCGTTCGTCTCATATATATATATATATATATATATGACGCTGAAATTACTAGAAGACAGCAGTCGGCCACAAGACCTACTAATTCCCTATTAAATCCATAGTATCCTCCTAAAGCAGATCAAGTCAGGCGTACATAACACCCTCCAAAATACATATGCTAAATCTGCGACGAAAAAATAATTTATAGTCTCACTACTGGTCCAGTTCCTGTACCGAAACCACGCTTGTCGCTGGGTCAGTTACACTAATGCTCTATCCCGCTTGTCGAGGCAGCGCAATTTTTAAATATAAAATTTCCTGCCCGTTGCATTCGCCCGCCTTTCAGAAGTCCTTCCGCTTAGATTCTTTTCTGTAACATCACTTCTGCTTAGCCCACAACGTTCGATTCTCCAG